AGGCAAAACTTTGTGTGAAAGGTAATTGCGTGGTTTGTGATATATTCAGTTTTGCTTTTTCAACATTGAAGTAATTATCGATTTGGATAATTCAATATGAATAAGTATAGAACAGATGCTGAATATCATTTCTTTGAGCAAAATGAAAAGTTCGTTGATTTGGTTACTTATTGAGACGTTTCTTAATGCGAGGTGGAACGATACTATAATCGAAATTGAGAGCGGAATGTTCAGATTTCCAATCGTATCGTCAATTCATCCAGTCGAGGATATCTGAATTAACAGGCAATTGGATAAACATTGATTGAAATTGAACGATTTTGAGGTGTCGATCTCGCGTACAAATACTGCGACGAGAATAAAGTCCCCTATAAACGCAATGGTAAATTGATTGTGGCGGTTGAACCCGAAGAAATTCCTCGCCTTGAGGCTTTGTTCGAACGAGCGCAGAAGAATAATTGCAAGAATATATCGATGATCGATGGTTCGAAAATAAAAGATTATGCTACGCATATTCAAGTTAGCACCTATTCATTCGGACACACTTAACCACTTAGTGCCCACTGTTGGCAGTTTTATTATCACTGACGGGGACGGGACTCTTGCTGCAAAATGGCGGTCACTTCTGTGAGAAAGACTCGCACTCTGTGAGCAGTTCAACTAGCAATAAGTAGTGTTTATGTCTCATCCGTTCATAATGGATGTGTTGAATATTATTTCATTAAAAGTGCTATTAAAAACGGATGATTTGATCTATAAAATTATTCTATTTTGATTTGATTTTAGTCTAAATGATTAAAAATTCTATTAAATTATTCTATTTCGATTTGATTCTAGTCTAAATAATTAAAAATTCTATTAAAAGTATTATTATTCTATTAAAGATGCTATTAAAAACGAGTGATATGTTTTGTAGTGAATCGCTTCTCTTCAACTTGCGATTAGCCAGTGTTCAATAGGACGCGACTATTCGCGTTCTGATCATATTGAAGTTTCATCTGATACATTGTCGGATATGAGTGCAACTGATTTCATTTTGTGAAAAAAATTTAGGGTCTCAAAGCGATTTGGTCACCGTACACAGGTATAGTGGATTGGGCGCTTGTGACGCGTTCATTTGCCGGCGATTTCGAGAAGCGCGGTGGTACGGTCTATACGGGTTATCCGCTGGAGAAGTTCTCGATTGCCGGAGAATCACCAAAGCAAGGCACACCCAACGACTACCCACTCGTCATTCACTCAAAACCTGGCCTCGTTGGTTCATTCTTCTTTGCATCCACAAATCTTCTTCCAATCATAAATATAGTCCACTCCTTCACATCGCCTTTCAGCAGCATAATTATTTTGAAGTGTATTCAAGGCACAACTTCGTTGTAAATATGTTATCACATGCGCTGGTCTGCAATCGGATCGTGTCGCGCAACTTTCGGGCTGTTCAAATATCCCAAAAATCGTTCCATTCCGAGGAGAATATCTGCTGCTGACATCCGAAAAGAAGAATCGAATCAAAGCGAATGTTTATCCGGTTCGTTGATTACTCTCTTCATTTATCTTTTGTTTATGGCCATTTTTTGGTTCGGAATCAATAGCATGGTGAACTATTGTGATCAAGGAGCACAATACAGCAGCAGTGTTGTAACCAGTAAGGGTGAGGTAGTCAACAGTTAGCATAAGTCTCATAAATATGAATATTGTTGAGGATTTGTCTCGAGGTCATTCTTCTATGGAGTAAACCTTTTACGATATCGCTTTCTTGAAAGTGACCATCTCAGACTATAAATTTCATTTTTCATCGGTTAATTTTTGTGATTTTCCAATGTTTTAGGTGCCAGATCCCCGCTTCCCGTTCCTTGGTGTCCATTTCACACCACGTATGGACGGAGGTATGCGCACAAAATCACTCATTTTTGTTATTGTGGTTTTTTGTTTTCATTATGTTTTCTTTTCAGTTTCCTTTTCATCTTCATTTAAATGACTGGAAGGATTCGATATGAACAATTGAAATGGACTGTTTTTTGTTGCAGACGTATGGCTTGGACCCAATGCAGTTTTAGCGTATAAGCGTGAAGGTTACTCGTATTTCGCAGTATCGCCGAAAGATCTGTGGGATGCACTCACTTTTCGGTATGTATCATCCTTATTCCGAAGGATAACATTCAGTTATGATCCGCTGTATAAAGCGACTTAAGTGCTTCTTAAGTGCGGAATTTCTTCTATTTCTCATCGAATATGAATGTTTTTTCAGTTAAATCAAAGAATCAATTTGTTGCTAGATCGCGATGTTAATATCGTTTCGAATGAATTCATGCACATTTAGATTTCGGAATTCTTATGCATATTGTCGTGTTCACGTATAATACTTTGATTGATTTTGTTTCGTTAAGAGGAATGCATAAACTGATCTACAAATATTTGGGATACGGAATGAAGGAATTTTATCGTGGCATTTGGATAAGAGCACAAGTGAAGCAGCTGCAACGTTTTATGCCTGATCTTACCATCAAGGACGTTAAGAGGTTTTTGATCATATGATCGTTCATATCGTTATCATTGTCACTTTTCTTACTAAATACATTTCATTTATTTCATTATCCAAACCAGGCTTTAATAACGATATAATGAAAAGGGGCGATACAGTTTGGTGCATTCCATAGTGACAATTAAGTACTATTATATTCAACTTTGCATTGAAATCTACCTCTCTGTATCCCTAGAAGGATTAAACGTTTTCTATCCTCACTAGAAAACGTTTGATCTTTCCATCCTCACCAGTTTTCTATCCTCACTACTTCGAATCAATAGTAAGGATAGAAAAAAATTATAATCAGTCATTACAATGGCATTTTCGGCGTTCAATATCAGCGATTTTTCGATTGACGTAAATTTGTTGGGAAAAAAGTTTCAAAGGATTTTCAGAGGACGATCAATTTTCAGAAATTGAATTTTTAGAGGACCATCCGGTGTTCGTGCACAAGCAATGGACGCAGATGGGAATTTGGTGGACGATTTTGTGTTCGATAGCGGGACGGGCGATATTGCGTCTCGCATTCTGCACGTTCGTAATGCGCCCAGTCCGGGTGCGACGAGCAGTCTGGCGATCGCCGAAATGATCAACGACAAAGCTGCCGATCTGTTCCATTTGAAACACTAATTTTTCCATCTGATTCGATCCAATTTCATTTGCAATTTTTTGAGCTGAATCAATGAATTTTACCAGTATAAATCAATCATACGTACTAACTATCTTCACGTTCGTTTTTTCCTCAACCGGTCGATAAATCATTGATTTTTATTGAGCATCACGCAAAATATTCGAAATTTTCCAATAATTCCGTTGATTTTCGTAGCGTTTTTGCTGGAAATGTTTTGAAGCGATTGTTTTGGAACGAAGAAAACGTGTAATTCAATCTGAGATATTCTGTATTTGAGAGTGTTTCTTCGAGTATTTAACAGTTGTCAGGAAATTTTGCGATACTTTGCTGCAATTAAACTTCTTTCAGTTCTCTCGCATTCTACGAGTATCATCTTCGTAGTACACAAAACCTTTCCACTTGAACATTTATTTTCATAAACGAGTGAAAAGCGATGCCTTAAAGTCTTCGAAAAAATACTGAAAACAAATTTCCTTCCTGAAAATATTAGTAAACGAAAAAAAAGTTGTAAGCTATTTATGGGAAGGTGATTGGATATAGTTCAAGCTGCCTGTTAGGTGATTGGATATAAGAGGGCTATGGCAGGCTTCTTTAATAGCCTTCCGCTAGTCCAGCTCATTCTGACTTTTCATCCTTCTTCTGGAGTTTTTTTCCGTAGCTCTAGTCGGAAGAGCATGCTGGACGGTTGTTAGTCAGGCTGAAGGAGGCATACCAAACACCGAAAACATTTCACAGCTCGGAATGGCCCTAATGTTCCCATATTTGGACCTGATCGATTTAGTGTCCTTGTTCTTTTTTTCACTCGTTGTGTATGTGTATGTGTTTGTGCCATTAATAACTCTGTGAATTGATTGGTGATATTTTTTGCAATAATGATGATTTTTGATAGTTTATGATTAGATTTGTTTCATTTTGCATGTTTTGTAGTGTTGTGTAAATTGTACAATTTTATTGACTTATTTTGATGTTTGTGATTTTACTTCTAAAGGATTAATAAAAACTAATAAACGACGTGTTTTTTGGTTGATTCTCATTTCGCACACGAAAAATAATCAAAATTCAAAGTCCGATTATAATCTCTCGTTAAATGGTACACATTCAGTGGGTGAATAGTTCACCTCGCAGTCTCAAAAAATATGGCGATATCGATTTGAATGTGATACCGAAGAACGTATTGAATGGTATACGAATCCAATAGTCGAAAGACGAACTTACTGACATCAGAACAATAAATGAACACTTGATGAGACATATTATTAATGTATCCATGGATATTCAAAAGTGCAATCCAGTAATCATCCAGGTCCACTCAGTGTCTTAAAGATCTCTGGGAAACGTGTGCATGCCCAAAAGACGACTACCGTACTTAGCGACCTATAAGGCGTAATCTCAATGAATAGTCTATTTCCGAACCGGACTACAAGACGGGTAAAGTGAATGAACCCTTCCCACAATGCACTTATAAACCTGAACGCAGCGCCGTGTGCCACACAAAATCGCTTCGCGGTCAATAACCAGAATTAATCCATATATAAGACGCTCCCGGTTATAAGGCGCAGTGTCGTTTTTTTAAGAAAATTCAACAGTTTTGAGTGCGCCTTATAGGTCGTTAAATACGGTATTCATTTGAATTATTCATTGATTGGAGCAGTTTGAAGCAGTTATGCATCATTTATTATGTGATGTACTTCACGGTTCTATTGGGACTACTACTTCCAACACAAACGCCAATTCCACATTGAATTCCTCTGTCGCGGCCGAGCGCGAAAGAGACGATTCGCGAGGGACACCAAAGTGATATGTAAAATCAACCTTTAAATCTGTACTTTAGCTGTATATGTATAAGATGTACACGAATATCATGCACTATTGAATCGGATGACGAAACGTAATTTTCGTATATCTCACTTGAAGGATCTCCTCCCTTTTCTGTTTGTATTATATGAATGCTTTGTGTTTCGATATATAATACAGTGTTATTACAAATAAACGCCAAAATCCTCCTTTTTGCAATAAATTTTGAAGAGATAAATTTTGGAAATATTCATCTGATAGTGAATAAACTCTTCGAAGAGGTCACCTCCAAAAAACTCGCTCACGATA